CTACCTCCCAGACGTTCTTGCGGGTCCAGGCCTACTTTTCGCAGACGAATTGAAATTCTGGAGTTCCAATTCCAGTACCGTCCATATGGATGTAGACGCTACCAAGCAGTGGTCGTTGGACTGGCACCTTCTTCTGAACGACGAAAAGTGCGTCCATATGTCGTTCGGAAAGGATTCAGCGAATGCCTTTTTTATTCACGGTAAAAATGGGCCAGAGAACATCATGAGGATAGATACCAAAAAGGATTTGGGCATCTGGGTCCCCTCAAACTTATCCTTCTCACTGCACCATGGGAAATCGGCCCAAAAGGCATTCGCCATTTTACGGATGATCCGACGAACCTTCTCCCGTATTACTCGCATAGACTTCCAAATACTCTATAGGGCCTACTTTAGACCGCTCCTGGAGTACGCCGACTAAGTTGTGTACTCAGGACGCACGAAAGACGTCACCCTCATTGAGCGTGTCCGGCAAGCCGCCACGAGAATGTTTACCGGTCTCAAATCCGTAGACTACGAAACGCATCTCGTGATACTTGATCTCTTCCCCTGGAGTACCGTCGCCTCCAAGGGGGCCCAATTCCTACTTGTGCCTTGTTTGAAAAAAGCTTGGCAAACAGAATTTTTTACCCTTGAACCATCAAACAGACGGTGGGGACACAGTAAGAAAATTTTCAAGCTCAGAGCACATATTGAATAGACAACGATTTTTCTCATTTCCGGTAGTAGCTGCGTGGAATGACCTTCCTCCGATGGTTGCTCACGCTCCTTTTAGAACCCAGTTTAAAGCAATATTAGACATTTATTTATGCGAATCCTTGCGCTGGCAAGCATACTACCCCGCACTGAGAACATAAAGAGTAGTGCTGCACCCTTTTTTCACTTGTGCTTTTCACATGAAGGACAGCCACTGACCGACAAGAACAAAACCGACCCAGGAAACTTGGGCAAGCGCCCCGATCCTGTGTATCAATCCGTGAGTCCATGAATCCGTGTCAACCCGTGAATCATTGAGTTGTTCTCTTACTTGAGGTCATGGACGAGAGGTCTTGGTGATTCTGATTCTGACAGCGTTAATGCTCGTTCAAAAGTTCACGTTGTCAACGAAATTGAACGCAACTCATTACAAAGCTATAGAACTATCAGGTTCACTTTTAAGGCGCAAGTGACTACGAAGTCTTTGGCGCTGAACTTTTCGAACTTATTTAAACGCACCACTTAATCCGCATACCTATTTGTCCGGATGCACAGAAGCAGGTTTGTACGTTATGACGGTACACAACTTACCGAAGGCGGGTTCCACGATATCAGCATTAGTTGACGATGTTCGAATTGAGGGTGAGGTTCTCTGTATTGATGAGCCAAAGAAACTGGTTGTCATACGTAAGTTTCCGTTTTCAATTTTAAGTGCAACATAGTTTAGAAACCAGCTCGTCAACCGGACGTAGAGATACCTGCGACATAATATTTGCGAGAACTGAGTTCTTAAAGGAGGTAAAAATGCTAAAAGAAGGTCCTCTGCCTAGTTTTCCGGAGCTGAGTATCAACAAAGTAAGTCACGTGTACATTGAATGTCAGCGATATTGCAGATAGCGGAGCGTATACGCAAAAATGAACGCACGCAACAGGAAAAGCAGAAATTTTACCGGCCAGATGTACCCCCTGAGGTACGGAATTTAGCAGAGCATATAGAAAAAACGTAATTAACCTTATTATTGCTCCACATTCACCAGTTTGTTCGATGTAGTATGGAGTGACCCCAACATAGTTGTGATGGAGCATTCGATCATTAGTCCCCCATACAAAGAGGACAACGTCACCTGCAACTCGGATGATCAGCAGGCAAAATCGAATATCACTATCTCCACCAACTCATTTTTTGTTCCTGACCGGATACGCCACCCATCGTAAAGTTTACACTACTATGAAAGCTTTCAGTAGTACACATTCATCGAAGAAATACGCTACCTCTCGCATCTCATTGGTTGAGTTCTTCCATAATATAGGCTGCGCAGCGGGTCGAGGCACACTCGTCATGGCTTCCTCGTCACAGTCTGTCGTTGCAACTGCTCCCGTGTCTGCTGAAGGGTACACAGTGGACGTCACCTCCTTGTTCGCGAGTCACCTGGGTAGCCACCTATTCAGCAACGTTCATGAACTGGCACACTGCATTAAGCAGTTCGAGCGAACATCAGGATCGTACTACAGCGTGCGTAACTCGAAAGCGAATTCCTCTGGTGAGAAAACTTTCATCAAATACCCATGCCATCGGAAAGGGTTTTCACGTCCTCCAAACGAGGGAAAACGACGCCGCCTGCTTGATCACACATAGTGCGAGGCGTTCTTCAACGTTTGCAGACTGGGAACCTTCTTTCGGGTTACTAAATCTCATATGGTACAAATCACGAGCTACTTGGTCCCGAAGCATCTCGGTGGTTTAACCGTAATCGTCGACTGCTGCCTGAGGAACTGGAAATCATTCGGCCAATGCTTGAATGCCGCAGCCGATGCTTTAACATCCGGTTCTATGTGAGGTCGAAGTTCGGTAAATATCTCACAACCAGCGATATCGGCAATATCCGGGCGCGACACATGTTTGGGCGGAACAATCCAAGTAATTCCAATTATTGTTAAAAATAAGTACTTTTTGCAGGTTATATTCTCGACTTGGAGTCGCAGTTCAACGAACAAGGACGAGCCCGCTGTTTGAGGGATGGAAGTAACAGAGTGACCCACTTCATCTACTCCACCTCAGAGATGCTCGATCTGTACAGACGGTTTCCCGATTTTTTACTTATTGACAGTACTTTTTCCACGAACCAACACAAATATTTTTTGTATCAGTTGCTTATAGTCGATGGCTGCCGTAAAAGTCTACCTGTGGCCATTGGTTTTCTTTGGCGGGAGACTGAGGCAGACGTGCGAACGTTTCTGCTAACTTTTCTGGAGTTTGTCGGTAGCGGTTCTCTGGTCAAGTGCATCATATCTGACGGTGCGCTTGCCATCGGAAACGCAATTGCTAGTGTATTTCCTTTTGCTATTCATTTATTATGTCGTGTACATATTCTTAGGAACGTTATCAAACGTTTCCCACGATCGCAATCATTTACGCGTTTTTTTGTTGCCATGCACACATCCCGATTGTGGAAGTATTTAGCGTTTTTGGAACTTATTCGTTTAAATGACCATCCTTTTTTCATGTACATAAATTCGTTTCTTCTCCCGAACGCTTCCAAGTGGGCCAGCTGCAGAATGCCACGAGTTGCAAACTATGGCATTCACGATACAAACATGGTCGAGGCCATGCACCGATGCCTGAAAATGGAACTGCTTAACGGGAAAATTGGACTGTGGGAGGCCATACGGGTTTCACGGATGAGCGCGACGTATTTGATATGGAATCGTCAGAAAACCGTATCCGATGCGTCTCGTCGTGATCTTCGCATTGTCGGCCATCCTGAATTGGATAGATTGTGCCGTCGTTTGATGCCATACGCCATTTCCAAAATGGCATCTGATTTGAGCTCAACCCATCCAATTACGGTCATGAGCAGCAACGAGCACGCTACCATCATGATGGATCGTCGGCGGGAGACAATCACCCATGCAACCCGAACGTGCACGTGTAAGAAGTTTGTTCAATTTGGCATACCTTGCCGGCATCTTCTGCACTTTGCCATGGCACAGAATGTAGAGACCACCGAACTTCCCGTGTGTTCCCGTTGGACCCGTGAAAACAACGGTGCGATTGCCGTTTCATTTGCGCAGTTGGATGCGCCAAGAAGTGGAACGCGAAACCCAAGCGCCTTGTTGAACATGGTGTTGAACGACGTGCGAACACTGTATCAGCGGATGGAGCCCGAAAATTTTCCAGTGTACACCGCGTGGCATCGTAGTTTCGTGCAGCAGGCTGGCCCACGAGAGTCACCCCCATTTACTTTCCCACCTCCTATCAACCTGAGTACGGACACCAGTATCGCGGACTACGACCAATTGCCTCCGTCTTTGGATGCTCCTGCCTTCCTTGTGACGGAATTTCCTGACGGACATGTCACAGCGGCCCCAGAAAACTCTGTTGTTCGCGACAAAGCTGCGGTTGTAGATATTTCAAGCTCAGATGATGAGGGGACTGTCCCAGCTGTCCAAAGTGGCTTGCGACGAGCAGTTGGTGTGTATGACGCGAGGCGAGATTCCCGGTCTGAAGTCGTTGAAGACACACCCACCGTACCCAGTTTGCAAGAGTTCCTAGTAGATGATACCATCTGTGCCGAGTGCGGCCTAGAAGATCCTGAGGAAAACGAAGGAAGAACCGTCAATTGGGTTCAATGTCCGTATTGCACACGGTGGTACCATCGCAGCTGCCTTATCCAACCCCCCATTGTAACTATATTTTGGTGCTTTTTTTGTGAACAAACTTTTGAATAAATTCAGGTATTCGTCCTTCAGCAACAATTCATAATTTATTATCAGTGGGTTTGATTTGGAAGTTAAGCCTACTTTAGCCGATGTTCACAGACAGCTTCTAGGAATATTGCGCGTTAACATAATTTTCTAGTAACGGATGTCCCAGTAAATACGTAAATGGTGCTGCAGTTAGAGTGAAACGACGGAATGTGAGGAACTAGGCGACGGATCACCAATCGTACAAGTTAGTATTGGGCTGTTTTATAAGTTTACTGTACGGTCCAGCCGCAATAATCTATTGTGAAACTTATCACCGTCATCCTTAGTAAGTTGAAGCACACTGGGATCTTGTGAAACATGGTTGTTTACAAACCGTAATTTAGGAGTATAAGACTCCAGATAATTAGTGCTATGGCAAGCCATTGGTAACATACGAGGAAACTAATTGGTAAGAAACCGTGCGCGGAAATGTGTTCCAAATGCTAGGCACTTTCAGTTTGTGATAGTTCGTGTTTTTGGTCACATTAACCCTGAGTGCCGAGGTGGCAGAAATCGCCAAGCACCCCAGTGTTAACAGAATAGGTGTGGAACTGGCAAGTGTGTGTAGAATGGTTCTGGATTAGTCGAGCTGACACGTGTTGGTGTGCGGACATCTGAGGTGAAAGTAAAATGGACAGTGTAACACATAGTGTTTGACTATCTATCGTAATATACCGCAGTCGGTCTGTGACATATGATGTGCTTGACCCCAATTAGCTGACTTTTCGAAACATATGATTTGGTGATGATCGCCGAAAACCGTCAGGTCAATCTGTCAATGAGGGCTGGCCGGTGGGTAGGGTTTGGAACGAACTGATTGCCGCAAACGTGTTCAAACGGGTTTGAATTAATTAATGGTACTCCATTATACATGCAGCACTGCTGTCCTCATACGATTTGCAAAACATGTGACAGTTGAAAACATGGGCTTGTGTATTCCGCGGATCGGACGACCTGTTTCTCTCGTTCGATGACCTTTGTTTTCCCGACAGCTAGGTAAACCGTCATTAAGAGTACTAAGGTGCTTGTTTCTCACATTTTTGTCAGCGCATGTGATGTCCATGCGAAATCAAGGGAGGACCAAACCTCTGGTTGATTTCGGTCGAACAGGCATCACAGGTGACATCGACAGCATAATAAAACGGGTCGTCAATTTGGACAGCACTGCACCAGTGTTAATTAATCAGTGGGACTAAATTACGCATCCAGCACTGCTATTAACCGCTAACTGTATAGGTGGGATTTGGTTGGGAATGTAGGAATGAGGTAGACGTTTGTGTGAGGGCTTCGGTTTGCATTTGCGTAACCAACCGATCATCAGTTTACTCTTGTTACACGTTTACATGAGATTATGTCGTTACTTGCATGATTACAGCCATTCATCCCGCGTACATGTGGTGGTACAAAAAGTTTTTACCTACAAAAGGGGTACCTCAGCATTGGAAGGGTGAAATAAAATCGGGCCCATCTACTTTCAAATTACACCTATCTTAAGTACATTTCGCTGAACGCTTTGTTTGTTATTCGGTCATTTGGGCATACTGCAGCATACCTAAAATAACACAACTACCCGTGCAAGTGCAATTACCTTTAGCATAACTGCGACCATTCCTTCCTTTTCTCGGTCATTAATTACGCATCGTGACAGTAGTGAAAGAACTAATATTGCCTACTGACCACACAACAATGAGTGTTTCCTTTGAGCCAAATTTCCCTTTTCAGTTTACTAGGCGCCTGCCGATCCACCAAGGTCAGTAAAGCACCGCAAACCAATTGGTCACAAAGTAAGCCTTGTTCGCATATTTGGACTAGTCATTGTCCAGCTAACCTTCCCCCTCTATCCATCATGCACAGAACACACGATAGCAGCACCGCATGCACTGCCATCCTATTCATGACTAGAACAAGTTGTTTCATGTACGTTGTGTTCATTCATTTGCATTCCATATTTCCGTCTGGTCATTCACAAACGTACGACTTGAAAGAAATTGCCTGCAAACACGTCCCGTGCTGTTCATCAGCCAATCTTTTTTATGCGTTCACATGAGAATCCCTCCCCCTGGAAACCAAGAAACTGAACGAAAGCATGGCTGCCGCCAAGCTTCAAACGGCGCACAGTATAGGGGTTCAAAATGTGACAACTCATGCGCTGCAAGCAGCAACAAGCCATGCCGGGGAGCACTAACCACGCATTCAACTGTCAACGTATTCATTGAAAGTCAAAATTATGGAGCCACAAGCACCGCATTTAACGCATGTCCGTACAAATCAGTATCCAACGTAAAGATAGAACTGAGGTCCGTAGACACGGTAAAGGTTCCTAAAATTGGGTCGGATAAAGACTGCCGGACGATATTCCACAATTGAAACCAAGTCAAAATGCCGGAAATATTGTTTACAGACAAGTTGCTAAAAATATTTCATACCCTAAAAAAGTAGGTTAATTTGATCTCGTCAACCTTTAAGATGGTCTCAAAATTTTACCAGAGGGAATCTCAAGTACCATCGCAGTGTATGTAAAGAGCAAAGCAATGTTTCTCTCAGAAATGCACAGTCGGCCTGAAGTTTGTCTGAATAAGTCTCCAAGTGCCGAATTCACTCATCAAGCTTTGAGGAAAGTGTTCAGACATGGAGGTGTACCAACTGTTTTGGTCACTGATAACGGCACACACTTCACTGCGAAATTCCTCTAGGAATTGTTAAAAGGTCTTAGATGTCGACATATGTTTACTACTCCGTGACATCCCCGGTCAAATGGACTTACTGACAATATTTTCTATTCGCTTTCGAGTTACGCACGCTGTAGTACGATCCTGATGTTCGCTCGAACTGCTTAATGCAGTGTGCCAGTTCATGAACGTTGCTGAATAGGTGGCTACCCAGGTGACTCGCGAACAAGGAGGTGACGTCCACTGTGTACCCTTCAGCAGACACGGGAGCAGTTGCAACGACAGACTGCGACGAGGAAGCCATGACGAGTGTGCCTCGACCCGCTGCGCAGCCTATATTATGGAACAACTCAACCAATGAGATGCGAGAGGTAGCGTATTTCTTCGATGAATGTGTACTACTGAAAGCTTTCATAGTAGTGTAAACTTTACGATGGGTGGCGTATCCGGTCAGGAACAAAAAATGAGTTGGTGGAGATAGTGATATTCGATTTTGCCTGCTGATCATCCGAGTTGCAGGTGACGTTGTCCTCTTTGTATGGGGGACTAATGATCGAATGCTCCATCACAACTATGTTGGGGTCACTCCATACTACATCGAACAAACTGGTGAATGTGGAGCAATAATAAGGTTAATTACGTTTTTTCTATATGCTCTGCTAAATTCCGTACCTCAGGGGGTACATCTGGCCGGTAAAATTTCTGCTTTTCCTGTTGCGTGCGTTCATTTTTGCGTATACGCTCCGCTATCTGCAATATCGCTGACATTCAATGTACACGTGACTTACTTTGTTGATACTCAGCTCCGGAAAACTAGGCAGAGGACCTTCTTTTAGCATTTTTACCTCCTTTAAGAACTCAGTTCTCGCAAATATTATGTCGCAGGTATCTCTACGTCCGGTTGACGAGCTGGTTTCTAAACTATGTTGCACTTAAAATTGAAAACGGAAACTTACGTATGACAACCAGTTTCTTTGGCTCATCAATACAGAGAACCTCACCCTCAATTCGAACATCGTCAACTAATGCTGATATCGTGGAACCCGCCTTCGGTAAGTTGTGTACCGTCATAACGTACAAACCTGCTTCTGTGCATCCGGACAAATAGGTATGCGGATTAAGTGGTGCGTTTAAATAAGTTCGAAAAGTTCAGCGCCAAAGACTTCGTAGTCACTTGCGCCTTAAAAGTGAACCTGATAGTTCTATAGCTTTGTAATGAGTTGCGTTCAATTTCGTTGACAACGTGAACTTTTGAACGAGCATTAACGCTGTCAGAATCAGAATCACCAAGACCTCTCGTCCATGACCTCAAGTAAGAGAACAACTCAATGATTCACGGGTTGACACGGATTCATGGACTCACGGATTGATACACAGGATCGGGGCGCTTGCCCAAGTTTCCTGGGTCGGTTTTGTTCTTGTCGGTCAGTGGCTGTCCTTCATGTGAAAAGCACAAGTGAAAAAAGGGTGCAGCACTACTCTTTATGTTCTCAGTGCGGGGTAGTATGCTTGCCAGCGCAAGGATTCGCATAAATAAATGTCTAATATTGCTTTAAACTGGGTTCTAAAAGTAGCGTGAGCAACCATCGGAGGAAGGTCATTCCACGCAGCTACTACCGGAAATGAGAAAAATCGTTGTCTATTCAATATGTGCTCTGAGCTTGAAAATTTTCTTACTGTGTCCCCACCGTCTGTTTGATGGTTCAAGGGTAAAAAATTCTGTTTGCCAAGCTTTTTTCAAACAAGGCACAAGTAGGAATTGGGCCCCCTTGGAGGCGACGGTACTCCAGGGGAAGAGATCAAGTATCACAAGATGCGTTTCGTAGTCTACGGATTTGAGGCCCGTAACCATTCTCGTGTCAACCCGTGAATCATTGAGTTGTTCTCTTACTTGAGGTCATGGACGAGAGGTCTTGGTGATTCTGATTCTGACAGCGTTAATGCTCGTTCAAAAGTTCACGTTGTCAACGAAATTGAACGCAACTCATTACAAAGCTATAGAACTATCAGGTTCACTTTTAAGGCGCAAGTGACTACGAAGTCTTTGGCGCTGAACTTTTCGAACTTATTTAAACGCACCACTTAATCCGCATACCTATTTGTCCGGATGCACAGAAGCAGGTTTGTAGGTTATGACGGTACACAACTTACCGAAGGCGGGTTCCACGATATCAGCATTAGTTGACGATGTTCGAATTGAGGGTGAGGTCTCTGTATTGATTGAGCCAAAGAAACTGGTTGTCATACGTAAGTTTCCGTTTTCAATTTTAAGTGCAACATAGTTTAGAAACCAGCTCGTCAACCGGACGTAGAGATACCTGCGACATAATATTTGCGAGAACTGAGTTCTTAAAGGAGGTAAAAATGCTAAAAGAAGGTCCTCTGCCTAGTTTTCCGGAGCTGAGTATCAACAAAGTAAGTCACGTGTACATTGAATGTCAGCGATATTGCAGATAGCGGAGCGTATACGCAAAAATGAACGCACGCAACAGGAAAAGCAGAAATTTTACCGGCCAGATGTACCCCCTGAGGTACGGAATTTAGCAGAGCATATAGAAAAAACGTAATTAACCTTATTATTGCTCCACATTCACCAGTTTGTTCGATGTAGTATGGAGTGACCCCAACATAGTTGTGATGGAGCATTCGATCATTAGTCCCCCATACAAAGAGGACAACGTCACCTGCAACTCGGATGATCAGCAGGCAAAATCGCAGGCTGAATATGTCCGGAAGATTGTACGTGCCATATTTTAACTCAATTCATTCTCATTTAGGTTGGTCGGTTCCACCTTGATCGTGACTCTAGCGCTCGTGTCGACAAGTGAGACGTTGGGGACAATGATCCCGCAATAAAATTCACGCAACGCATTTATTTTGAATCCGTTGGTGATTTCGGTGGGGTTTTCTTAGTAACACGCGTGCCTTTTTCTGACTCATCGTCAGTTTGGAGATGAATACTTTACTTCGACAGATTTATGGAATATTCGATTCGGATGAAATACATAAGCCATCGGCTATTCATAGAAACTAAGATTCAGGGCTTTCTCGCGTTGGAATAATCGGAACAGCAACTTCGGTCGATGGAGGAATTTTTGTTTATGGAATGCTCGTCCGACTGAGAAAATTCGGTGAACGACTCTGGCTTTTGATTCCGATCAAAAGTTGAGGCGTTTTGGGTGTCTCAGGTGGAAGTTGGTTACGCTCAAATGGTGGTGGGAAGCACCGCCCTTAACATCGTTGTGCGAAAAGAACGCTTTGAGGAAGTCGGTCGACTAGAATACGTAGCACGTGGCGAAGACAGCTCAACGTATGCAGTATGATCAGTTCATTTATCGAGGTTGAGCTATTTCTTCCGAATACCACTCGACGTTCTTAAGCATTGCTGATCTTCACCCTCTGACAGATTCTGGAACAGCGACACTGCTTCCAGCAACCAACAGTGGTTATTTATTGATTTGAAAGCCGCCTTTGACTCTGTGGGTCGCCGGGCACTTTGGCAGTGTCTGCGGAGTAATGGCATCCTCCATAAATTCTTGACCCTCCTTAAGACGCTGTGCGCCAACCATTCACTGCCATGTGAAGGTCTACGGCAAGCTCTCTTCTGAGTTCACCACATCAAGTGGTGCCAGGCAGGGCTTTCCTCTTCAACTTCTTCATTGATACGATCATGGGGGACTCACTATCAGCCTCTAATGTATGTGGGCTCGAAGTGCTTCCGGGACGTCCGCTCACAGTTATCGAGTACGCAGACAACAGCCCTTCTTGGATCCGAGTGAACAGAGTGCAAAGCATCTAGCAGCACACATTCCCACTCGGTAATGTCCCTTTGTTGGGTCTTCAATGCCAGAGTGATAGACTTCCAAAGAGTACCATTAAGCCGTTCGACTTGTCCGTTACCGCGCGGATTGTATGGGGTAGTTCGACTGGTTGCTACACCCCTGTCGTGAAGAAACGTTTGTACTTCACCTGACATGAAAGCTCCACCACGATCAGAATGGACGTATGAGGGCATTCCGAACAAAGAGAACAACTGATTAAAACACTTGATCACGGTGGATGAGGACACATCCGTACACGCGAAGGCGAATGGGAAACGGGAGTACTCGTCGATCATTGTTAGAAGGTATTTGTTGTGGGAGGTTGATGGAAGTGGGCCTTTAAAATCTATGCTGACGCGTTCAAACGGCTGTGTAGCTTTAATAATATTGCCAAAAGGGTGATTGTTGTATGGCTGTGAGACTTGGCCTATTCGAGCAGCGGATCTGAGACGTCTTCAGGTGTTCGACAATCGTTGTCTCAGAACCATAGCTCGTGTGGGTTGGTGTCGGCGAATCCGTAACGAGGCAGTTAGAAAGCGTGTTTTCGGTTGTGTAACGGGTACTTCCATTGAAGAATGTGTCCAGCACCAGAAGCTGTGTTGGTTGGGACATTTGTTACCAATGCCGAACCATCGTTTGCCGAAGAGAGTGCTGTTTTACATGCCCAACTCAGAGTGGCGTAAACCGAGAGGTGGCCGACCCTTGACTTGGCAGACGAGTATGAAGGAGATCACGAAACGCTCTGGTGCTGTCGGTGCTACTCGCCTTCCAGGATGGGGACCGCGTGATCTTCACTGCGCCTGGTTGGAGACACTACAAGATATGGCTGCCAACCGATTTCAGTGGCGTTCCTGTTGTCAGTTTCTGTCCAGATTGCCTGAGTGAATGTCTGGAGGTGTGGGCACCTCGGAATGATTGTGTTAAGCTAGCACTAAGTCCCTCCCCCATGCACCTTTATTCTTTTCTTTACAATAAGGCTTTCAAATAAGTCATGGTTGTACGGCAGTGAAGCATTGGTGTTGAACACTTAGGTCATGCTGTCGATGATGATGATGATGATGATGATGATGATGATGATGATGGTGATGATTAAATAATCTAAGTGATCCCTCCTCACAGTTTTGCATGCGCTTCACATCTGGAAAGTGTAAAGTGCTGCTGCAAGACTGGGTGTCTTCGAACCCTAGCCTCATGCTTGCGGATGAACCGATTGAGGTGGTAGACAAATTTGTTTACCTAGGCACTTGTATTAATCCTGGTAGTCTCGCGAAAGATGATATTTCAACCGGATTCGGAAGGCCATGGCAGCTTATGGGAACCTGCGTCACCTGTGATGTAGGCGTGACATCAGCTTCTCTGTCAGGGGTCGAGTTCACATTGCTGCGGTGTACTCCATATTACTAAAAGGATCAGAGGCCTGGCTGCTGCGCGTGAGGACATCAAAAGGCTTTCAGTGCTTGGCCACTGATGTCTTCGGAGCATTGGTGGGAACACCCGATAAACAGTGCCGAATTACGTCGAATGGTATTCGAAAGAAATAGCTCAACCTTGATAGATGAACTGATCACAGGGTGGGACTAGCCGGAGAAGGTCAAGCAATGACTTCGTCATCATCGTCAGCTGTAATAACCGTGTACTCGTCGTACACTGGTTGTAGCTGCTGCAGTTTCGTTCACCGATGATTTGTAGGGGGAGGGTAGGGGTAGGTAGCTGCGCATTGCAGGCGGGAGCTGATAGATTGGTGTATAAATCCAGCACTGTCAGTGAGCTGTCAAGTGAAGGGGGGTTGGAAAAGGAGCTATGCATTGAAGGAAATAGCTTGGATGCACGAGCGCCATTGAGGGCGCGACTGGGCCA